CCTTCAGGGTGTGGGTGTGGGCTCCTACTGTAGCTTGTGAGTTCCTCTCCTAGTGGCTCCCGTCAGCAGTCTCTCACCAGGATCTGTAGGAGAGGGGTCTGTCTGCCTGTGCCTGTCCTATCCTCAGTACTTTGCCCAGTGCCAGGCTCTGTTGTTAGGCGCTCCCAAGTTGGCTACAACTCAGTGACCCTGTGAACAAGAGATCTGAACTTTGCCCTGTCCTGGACATTCCTCACCATCTCCGACAAGCTCCAGCCCACTGGTACCGTCACTGTGTCAGACCATCTTGTTGATACTCTTCTTCTGAGCTGCCATCTTTCCCAGGATGATGTATTTTTCCAAGGACTGGACCCTTCTGACCACATGCCTAAAGTCTGTGAGACCGAGTTTCACCAACCTCACCCCCTAAGGGGCATCCTGGCCGCTCTTGTTATTCTTGGACGGTCTATGGTCTGTTCAATTCAACAAAACTCAGTTTGTTGCTGTTGAGTTGGAACCAACTAACAGTTGACCCTCCAGTGGGTTTTCAGAGGCTATAAATCAGAGGAGAATGCCCATCCTTCTCTTGAGGAACAGCTGGTAGATTAAAAACTGCCTGCCTTTAAGCCGTGGTCTGTCAGTGTGTATTTAAATGTACAGATGACGCATAGTGTCTTCTTGGGCTCCCCAGGTGAGCAATTAGATCAGATTCTTAAATATCAGCTTATTCAGAATCTCCATTGTCAACCTGCAATCCATATTAAGGTTTCTTTGGCCTTGGAACCTGGTTATTTTTCTTGCCTTGGGTCCTGGGCCATGGCAGCAGTACTCAAGGAAGTACCATCATAGGTTTTCTTTGGCTCTTGGTACAGGATATCTGGATGATTGGTGAATTCTCCTTCCTTTCCTCCCTCTCTCTCTCACTCAAACATTCTCACTTATGTTGCATCAGAACAGGTCATAGCTGACACTTCAGCAAGTTTTCAGAGGCTGGTGAGTACACAGGAGGCCTCTGATCCCTTAGAGCAGTGAGTGGATCTGAACTGCCTGCGTCTGAACTGGCAGCTTACCCACTAGGCCTCCGGAGCTCTCTATTGGTGAGGGTGGACACTTTGAATCTGAGCTCTTGATTGAGGTGTCCCAGGATGGGAGAAAAGCTGCTAGCAACAGCTGCTGCTGAGGGTTTGACAGGAAGGCTGGCTCCCAGCTTTCCAACCAGTAGGACACAGTGAGGGGGCTGGGGGACCAGGCCAGACCACTGCCTGGAGAGCTCCAGAGGGAAGCTATCATCTCAGCTTAGACTAGACCCTCCGTGACAGGGACTACTTCACTGCTCTAATTCAGATGTGGTGTGTGCGAGCTCCAGGGCATTCCTCAGATTTGAGAGAGCAGGGGATAAATGATGATAGAGGCCAGGCAAGTGTTGAGAGGCCGGAGGAGGGCAAGTCAGAGTTAGCCAGAAGAATCTGGACACAGCATTTGAACTGGGTCTGAAGGAGGACACGAGTTGGAAGCAACAGGAACAGAGGCTGCGTAGGAGAAAGGGAGGCCAGTGGAGCAGTGAGGGGAGCCACTGAGTCTGCAGCGTAATGGGGTGCCTGGACCAGACGAGGGAGGTCTCTGACAGCTGCCGAGGCCTTGGCATCCCTTCATCTTACAGGACAGACTTTATGTGTTACGGCTGGCATGGTGGGAGGCCAGTTACTGCTCAGGGCCCAGTGGGTCCCTCCCAGGACTGAGGCTCCTTGAGGTTGGACTCAAGGCTTGGACTGTATTTTGGAGTCTCTTGGCAGAGACCTTTCCAATCTTGGCTGTTCTCCCCAGCCTGGCTTTTCCAGGTTCTTTGAAGCTAACCAGTGACCTCGGAAATCATGGGGCTTATCTCCTGGCCTGTTTGCGTGTAGCCTTGAGCTGGTGGTGGTGCGGAGGGGGGCTGGGATGATGCAACCTTCTCCAGGCGTGTCCTTTGGAGATGAACCTTTTCGTTTGTTAGGTGGCAGGCAGGTACCGTGTCCCTCACCACAGCACTGAGAGGGGTTCTCTCCTCTGTGTGTGAGCAGATTCGAGTGTTTATTATGTTCCCTTGGTGAGAGCCCTGCATCCTCAAGCCAAACTAGGATGAGTTCGAAATCAATACTTCTTGACCTTTACCCCGCCTTCCACGAAGAAGGGACAGTTTGTATCTATAGTTAGAGAATTATTAATCATTTGGTTACCATGTGCTGCTACCTGAATCAAGCCCTCTCCCTCATCTCCCTCTTTCTCACACACCCCCTAAATTGCTATTACACACTAAACATACAATCATTTATAGAAAATGGTTTCATGGGTTCACTGGCCATCAGTTCAACTCTTTAATACACACTCAAACCCACTGGGATCGAGGTGATTCCAACTCAGAGCGACGCTCCATGGGGTTCCCACGGCTGTAAATTGTTATGAGAGGAGACCACCTGCCTTTCTAGCATAGAGCAGGAGGGTGGCTTCGAACCACCAACCTTGCAGTTTGCTGCCCAACACGTTACTGCATCTCTACAGTTCCTTATCTGTCTGGTAATTATCACCACAGAAAGGTTTTGCCCTGGGTTGTAATAACTCCACAACTTAGTAGTATGAAGGTCTTGGGGTCTCCCCTGCCAGATGCTGAGGGTGGGATGCAATCCTGCCTTCAATGTGACCTTATAATGTAATCTGCTAAATTGAATCATAGGAAAACCTCTTTGGTAGAAAACAAGAACAGGAAGCTATGCAGCTCTGTCAAGAATAATGCATGTTTGCAAAAATAGAAAACAAACCCTGTGTACCTATATTTTATGCAGACAAGTGACTAAAAACCTTTAAGAAGACTTTTACATCCCAATCTGGCCATGCACGCTGATCGGCAGTGTGGCAGCTTTCAACAGGGTGTTCACACCGTTGTGAGTCGTGGACTGGTGCCTTCTGCAGGGGAAGCACCGGGGAGCTTAGGTGACGAACAAGGAGGCTTACCAGAGGAAAGCTTGGGAGATGACAGATCTCCTTGTGGGTCCCACTGTCCGAGGATTTCCTGATGTGCGATCAGAACCAGGTGCACCTCCCTGAAGCGGGCCATCTCGGCTGACAGTAGCATGAACTCTTGCTCTCTGGGACCAGGTACAGTGAGAGTGATGGCAACGGGCTCTGGACGCTTCTCCTTTGATAGAATGAAAGTGAGGTTTCTTAATGGTCCTGAATAGACTTCTGGAGGTGAAAATTATTAACTAGAAACCCCTCATTTTTCTTACCCTCTTCATATCAGTATCAGGACAAAACTATGATAGCATACCTAGAATTTATTCACATGTCCAACTTTTTGTGAAGAAAACAGTAAGTTTATGATAGAAATTTTAGACAGAATAGAAAAAAATAGAAAGAAGACAAGAAAATCGACTCATGTCATCACCCAGAAGACAATCTTTTTAAAGGTCTCCAGTCACTTTCTTCATAAAGTATACGTACACAAGGGTTTTGGTTTTGTTTACAAGCATGCATTATTCTTTACAGACTTGCATAGCCTCGGCTTCTTGTTTTTGATCAAAGATCTTTTTCTCTCATTAAATTTAGTGAACTGCGTTATAATGTTGTAGTTATACAGTGAGACTAAATCCTTTTTAGAACCTTAACATCCACGTGAACATTGTCCCCTTAGAGGGCCCATAGGAGGTGACGGTGCTGACGGGCAAAAGGGCTTGGGGAATAGTTCTAAACCATGTAGGGATGTAGTACTCCTGGGCTCTGCTTTACAAAGCCTTTTAGGGTCAAAGAGAACGAACTCTTTGACACCCCCAGAGCGCACGTGCGCACACACACACACACACACACACACACCTGGAAAGCAGAGCTGTAACAGCTTCTGAGCTGAGCTGCGTCTCTGTCTGTGTACCTGTGTCCAAGCACATGTGTGCCTGCAAGCAGGTGACAGGGTATAGCCTGTACTTTCTGCTTTGTCCTGTTGTAGGTTTGGGGCTTTGGTTCCAGTTGTCCCCGTGGAAGTCACTGGCCTACCTTTCCAGCAGTATCTGTTCTGCCTTTTGGGACGTGACTGTGTATCTGGGTCAGAGGCTTTCTTTGTGTCCGGGGAGGGGGCAGGTTTCCTGTCTGTCCATTTCTTTCTGTTCAGACCATGTGGAGTGTGTGTCTAAGCTCCAGAACGGCTCAGTGACTCCCACCTTCTGCTCATGAATCCTCAGTGACTCCCCACTGAGGGTGAATGTTGACCTGAGTGTGGTATATAAAGTCATGGCCGGAACAGCCTGGCCAAACTTTCAGCCAGTTGGTCACTGTTCGCCCACTCCATGTCCTCCAGGCTTCATAACTGTGCGGTGTGCCTTTCTGACTTGTCCGCACCTGCCCCTCCTCGGCTTGCATCATCTCCTCAGCCTAATGACCCTCCTCAATGCCTGGGGTCCACAGCATGTTCATCCATCCACTGTCACCGTACCTGTCAGCTTTTTCTGATGTTCCTTCTTCATCCAGTGGAAGAAGGTTCTTCCTCTCAATTCACAGCGGGTTTCGTCTTTCTTTAGCATGTCTCACTTTTGTCTATTATTAGTTTTTACATTTTGTTCATTTAAAGAGAAGCGGACTCTCAACGAAATGGGCTTGAGCAAGACAGAGATGGAGATGACAGCGCGGCAAGCGGCGGCGAGATGCAGTCACGAGGTGCTAGAGTCAACTTGACAGCACTCACCGCAGTGTTTAGGTGGAATGTAGTCCTCCCACCAGACTATCGGCTTTTAGGAGCAGAAGTGACTCGTGCCTCCCTTTAAGCTCTTGTTGAATTACTTGATACACAGACTGTGCCTTGGGAAGCGTGGTCACCTCATTTAAGGCCTGGGGGCCGTGACTGCCCCAGGTCATCCACTCTCATGGCAGAGCTGGCCTTGGGTCTCATGCTGGGCTCTCACCCTCGCCGTGTTTCTCTGGAGTACACTGTGCCAAGTCTGCAGAGAAGCCTTCACTGTGCTCTTCTCATCTTCTCCATTCTCCTTCTCCAGGTACCAGCAACCATGGGATCCCTGCAGCTGCTCAGAGCCCTGATCCTTTGTGGTCTCCTCTGGGGCTTCTGCAGCCCCAGCGTCAGGGCCCAGAATCCTGGGGCCCACCCCTCACACCCAGGAAGCATGGGCCTGGACAAGAACACCGTGCACAACCAAGAGTATGTCTCCCACCAGGGGTCGGGGACCACCAGGGGTCAGAGACCACCAGTGGTCAGAGGCTGCAAGGGGTCAGGGGCTGCCAGCGGTCAGGGGCTGCAAGGGGTCAGGGGCTGCCAGCGGTGAGGGGCTCCCAGCAGTCAGGGCCCAGGCCCCCTGTGCTGGGCAGTCGCAGCTCTGGCTGTCCACACTCAGCCCCCTCCCTCCTCTTTTCCTGTCCATGGGGCTGCCTGCTGTTTCCCAGGGCAGGTCTTCCTCCTCATGGCTGCCAGGAAGGCAGGTCTTTTGTCCTGAAGGATGGAGGCCTGCAGGGTGCCAGGTAGACTGGAGCTAAGCTTTCTGAACTCCAATATTCATTTGTTTTTTCTCCTGTCACATTCAAATATGGGCTAGTTTGTTGTAGCTTTTGTCCTGGCTCAGTTACTCACACGTATATCCTTTTTTAAAATAAAAGCTTTTAATCTTCAAATCCTTTTTTCAGGTTGATAACTCTAAAATGTTATTTATAACTATTCCAATAAAGGAGCCCTGGTGGCCTAGTGGTAAGAAGCGGGGCTGCCATCCCAAAGGCACATAGTTTGAATCCACCCGCTGCTGCACGGGAGGAAGCTGGGCAGTCTCCTTGTGTGATTTACTGCCTGTGAAGATGAGCTGGAGGGTCAGCTCCGGGTCAGTTCTGACTCAGTGGCACACAACAACATATTCTACTAATATTAGTGATGATGATATAAACCACCATAATCTTAAGAGCATCGCAGACTTCCTGTCTGAAGGTTTGCCTTTCATTTAAGGGTCAGGTCTGTGCAGGCTGGAGGCGGGGCGTCCCTCTCTGTGGTTGGTGGTTTGAGTTGCGTGAATGAGCCTCTGGGGCTTGCTCTGCTCGGCGTCCAGGCCTTCTTGGAGGGTCCCGCTCGCTCTCTGGTGGACACAGCGGTCTGAGTGTGACTCCTGGTTTGCAGGCACATCATGGAACATCTCGATGGCGTCATCAACAGACCACAGGAGGATCTGTCCCCGCAAGAACTGCAGCTCCACTACTTCAAAATGCATGACTACGATGGCAACAATTTGCTGGACGGCCTCGAACTCTCCACGGCGATCACACACGTCCACATGGAGGTAGGTCAGCCCACGGCTTGGTGGGCAGAGCCTTGGAAAGGCTGGGCTGTGCTGCCTTCTTCCTGAAAGCCAGCGCTGCTGCCTCTCTGGTCTCCACCACCCTCTGGTCATTCACCACCTTGCCTCCTTTCTTGTTCAATATCTGCTCCTTCCTCCAAAGGCTGACCCTCGGGGGCAGGAACCCTGGGCTGGGCCTTTGTGTTTTTAGGTGTTTCAGGCAGTTCTGCTACACACCAGCCAAAGGACCAGAAGGCAGCCACGTTCAGAATGTTGGGTAGCGGGAACATAATTTCATTTGAGGAGAACAGTTTACCAGGAGGTCAAGGGACTGGGCCCTGGGCGACAGCCAAGGGCTTCTCCGTTGTTTGTGTACGGTCGTGTTGTTTACAAAGCCTCTCCAACTAGGCCATCTTGCTTGATTTGTGCAACGGCCCTGGACGTTGACAGGAGCAGGTGGTGTTATTACTCCCATTTTCTGGGTGAGAAAATGGAAACTGGGATCTCTAGGCTCTAGATCCCTGACTCCAGGCTGGCCATGTAGCATCTGCAGAGGTGGTGAGGTGCCGTGACAGGCAGGCTGCAGGGCAGGCTTGGGTTTGCCCTGGGGACAGACAGTAGGAGTCTCCAGCAGTTCTACGCAGGGTGGCCTGACAGAAACAGGGTCTTGGGAAGATCTGCTGTGGGAGGCGGAACAGTGGACATGAGGGGAGTGTTGTGGGCAGGAGGGGAGGCCAGTGGGTATGGGGAGAGGCTGCAAAGTATGGGGGCCAGGAGATGTGGGAAGAGGCCAGTGGGTGTGAGGAGAGACCAGTGGGTGGGAGGAGAGGCTGGTGGATGGGAGGAGGGCATGGTGGGTGTGGGGAGAGGCCGGTGGGTGGGAGGAGAGGCCGGTGGACAGGAGAGGTTGGTGGACAGGAGGAGAGGCTGGTGGGTGTAGGAAGAGGCCGGTGAACAGGAGAGGCTGGTGGGTGTGGGGAAAGGCCAGTGGACAGGAGGAGAGGCTGGTGGGTGTGGGAAGAGGCTGGTGGACAGGAGGAGAGGCTGGTGGATGTGGGGAGAGGCTGGTGGACAGGAGGAGAGGCTGGTGGATGTGGGGAGAGGCTGGTGGACAGGAGGAGAGGCTGGTGGGTGTGAGGAGAGGCCAGTGGGTGGGAGGAGAGGCTGGCCTGGCCTCAGGATCAGGAATTGGGATTCCACAGTCCAGGCAGGTGGTGGCAGTAGGACAAGAAAGGGTGGAAATAGGGATGTGGCAGAGAAAGAGCCTGCAAAGATGTATATGGGATTAACTTCTGTTTTAGGAGAAAAAAAATCATTAACCACTGCTGGTGCAAGAAAACAAGAAAGGTAGCTTATTTCTGGGCACCGTGTAAAAGAACAATGGCTCAGGAAAGAGGGGAAATGGGACTGCCAGTGGGAAAGCCCCTCTTGAGACCCAGAATGGCTCCATCCTACTGGGAATTTATATAAGATACAACATCCAAGTTACCCCCATATTTTATCAAAGTGCTGAAAGGGGGTGCTCATACAGCTTGCTTATAGGTTTCACTGATACGAAACCTGTGAGATGAGTAACCAAACTCATGGAGATGCAGGAAGGAGGAAAAAAAGAAAGTTTCCCTTCAAGGAGAGTAGTTACTGTCCGAGAGCCAGGAGGGTTCCTTCAGCCCTGGCCAGTGGGGGACAATAATGCCAATGAAGTGGGCCCTAGGTTGTGTTCTTTCTTCTCCAGTGAGACTATTTTTAGTTAAGATGCAAATACCGTCCATGCTTAATAAAGGCACCTTTCTGTGGGGATGGAAGGGTGAAACTTCAAAGCCTATGGAGGGTTTTTTTTCAGGGTCTGCAGATTGACTTTCCATGGGACTTTGATTTGTTCAACACCCAAAGCAGACTGTGCTCTCACTCTGGGTACCCTTCCTGCACAGTGAGCCTCAACCCACGTCCTCCTGTGTTACTGTGAGCCAGGGACTTAACTGACCCCTAGCTGGCTGACCCTCCAGGTGGTTTTCAGAGACAGTAAACCACATGGAAAACGACTGTCCATCTTTCGCCTGTGGAGCAGCTGGTGGATCCAAACTCCATACCTTTGTGTTAACAGTGCAGTTTCTTTGCACTGAGCCACCAGAGCTCCCTTCTTCCTCCTCTAGCAGAGAGATTTCCTTTCACCGCAGAACTTCCGCCAGGTTCTGACGGCCACCGGTGCTTGATTCTTGCTCTGGCCCTAAGCTGCCCGCTGCTCCGCAGTCAAGGCAAACTGCGCACAAAGCTGCCCTTTGAAAGGGCTGGGTCTGTGAGCTTTTCTCTGGGTTAGGTTTGGGGGTCATGGAACCTGTGAAAGTCATAATGCTATGCAAGCCAGACCCAGATTCCACACGAACCTTTACTACCTCTCTAATTAGAAGAGAATAAAAAGCTGTTTCGAAAATAATCAAGGGCCAGCTCTGGATCTTCTGACTCTCAGTTCCACTCAGCTCATTGCCTTTGAGTCAGAACTGACAGAGCTGACTCTCCAGCAGGTTTGCAGAGGCAATAAAATGGCATGGGTGAGGACTGTCCATCCTTCTGCAGGGGAGCAGCTGGTGGACTTGAACCCCCAAAGGGGTGCCACCTTTAAATGACTATGAGGTGACCATTGCTAGAGGGGTCTGTGGAATCCTGGAAGGGTACTATAGTCAATAACTTTCTGGACCCAAAGGAGCATGAGCCTTTGGGGCATTAGCTAAGCATATCTTCCAGTAAAATGTGCAACTCATCCTTGCCTGATTTCTGTTTTGTAGGAAGGGAGGGAACCTGCCCCACCGATGAATGAAGATGAACTAATTAGCCTAATAGACGGTGTTTTGAGAGACGATGACAAGAACAATGATGGATACATTGATTATGCGGAATTTGCAAAATCGTTGCAGTAGATGTGATCTGGCCATCTCCTAACTGTATGCAAATATGACCCGTTATAATGTGATTGGACACTCTCTTAATGCAAAACAACTCATTTCCAACTACTGCCGCAGTATTTTGGTTATATTTACATATATATAATGATAGCAACTTGTTACACTGGGGTGACAAAGAAAAATCAAGAGAGAGAAAAGGAAAGAGAAGTGAGACACAGTGTAATCCCCAAGTACTGCTAAAACTCTTATTGTATAAGGGCCTGACTCAAGAATTTTGTAGAGAATCTTGTGTACTTGGATCTGCGTACTCAGGAACTTGGACTGGACTGTAGAATACTGCTGGTCTCTTACTTTTAACTCAAGCTTCCAAAAAGTGAGGGAGCAAGCTTTGCCGAAATGGACCCTGTTTCAGTTAGCAGTGATGGAAGGGGTGAAGCAAATGCCAAATGTTTCTCTCTGTGGGTCCCTTCTCTTCAGGGAAACACACGTGGTCAGTATTCTGTGAAGGTCATCTGGCCTAAATAATTATTTCCACTATGCAAGTGCATATTTCTAAGGCTATTTCAAAGTCACAGCATAAGAAAAATGTGTAATGTTATGTTCTGCTGGTCACAGAGTCCAAAGTTTTTTTCTCTCTGGTATTTTGGAATTGATGGACCACTCACCTAAGTGATTAACCCCTTTCTGTACTTTACAAACTCCTGCCACCTTCTTTGCATTCAACATGAGAGAGACCTGGAGTGTAAAATGTTCTCTGTGCTAATTAATAACGAATGTTTTAACTTTCGTAATATTTGTATTTAACTCTGGTTTCCAAAGCCTTGTTTTCTGCTATTTGGAAACTATTAAGAATGCAGAGATTTACTCTTTCCCCTCAATACAGAGAGGAGAAGGCTATTAGCTGGTCTGGCCTAATGAGAAGTTAAAAAAAGTTCATCCACTAAACACAATGATGTGCTTTGTGTTTTAAAAGCATGTTCTTGAAGTGGCCACTTTTAACGTGAATACGTGAATCCTCTCAGGCCTGGAAAGATTTGGAGAAAAACACTAAACATACTTGGCAATGTGATCCTCACCTGTTGTTGAAAATAAGAAAAAAAATGATTGTAATTTAGTTTATTGAATGTGATGTACGTATTCTAGTAGAAAACCCAGAATGATCAAATGGAAGAATGAGGAGATGACTGCGTACCATTTGTCCTAAGATGTATAGAACCTTATTTTCTTTATTAAAGTATTCTTATAAGAAAGCATATGTATTTGTAAAAAAAACCCCATTTTCCTGTGTCAGGTATTTGTGCAGTCAGAGCTGAACTGTAAACTATTCTTGTAATATCTAGTTATTTTGAAAGATTTATATAATGTATTCTGGATAAATAAACAACAACAAAAAAACCAACAACAGTGAAACAGAATAAAGAGCAGTTGATTTTGTTCACAGAAGCATCTTTGCCATGAAAGGCTTGCTCATTTAATTCAGGCATTAATGTGCATTTGACCCTGGCTGTACTCTGCCTTTTAGCCAAGGTCACTCCCCAGCATTCAAAGTAACTTTCCCTATTTGGGCATTTTCCTGAATGAAGTCACTTTTCAGACCTTTGCTCCCTGGCCAAATTCAGATTATGACAGCTTTCTCTAGATTAGGAGAATACAGTTTTTCCTCTTGAGTCTGATGGCTGTGTTTTATTTATTTTTTTTTTCTTTGCCAGAAAATTTAATTAGGTAACATTGTTGAAAGCATCCAGGCCTGAGTTAAAAAGCACAATGTCCTTGGCATTTTGGAAATGACACACTTTGTCCTGCCAGTTGAAAAATGAGGGGAAGGAAGTTATCATTGTTTTGTTTTTTTTTTCTTCCTTTTTTTAAGTCAAGGCATCTGCCAAGAACAGGCAAACTGGGGTAGAGAGTTGAGCAAGACGAGGTGTTCCAAAACTTTTTACTATACAACCTTTGTGTAGTCCTTGGAAAATACATACAGACTAACTAGAATAATTTCAACGGAATTATAGATCTATTGCATTGAGCAAATCTGCTGCCAAGGACCTCTTTAAATTGTTAAAGAGCACAGATGTCACTTTGAAGACTAAGATGCAACTGACCCAAGCCATGGTATCTCTAAGTTCTTCCTGTGTATACAGAACACTGGGTAATGAATAATAAAGACTGAAGAACTGAAACCTCTGAATTACGGTGTTGGCAAATGATATACAATGGGCTGCCAAAAAACCAAACAAAACTGCCTTGGAGGAAGTGCAGCCAGAGGGTTCCTTAGAGGCAAGGATGTGAAACGTGGTCCTTGTCTCTGCAAAAAAGACATCGTGCTTAGAAAAGCAGAAGGTCAGTGAAGGATAGAAAGGACGCCAATGAGACTGACGCAGTGATGGCAACAATGGACTCAATTAAGCACAGCAGAGATTGTGAGCAGCACAGGACCAAGCAGTGTTGACTTCTGTTGAACTTAAGATCACTTTGAATTGGAGCCAATGTGACTATCCCTTGGCAACAGGAGTAGGAGATAAGGAGACTTAGAGCTTTGGGCAAATCCACCGTCAGGGACCGCTCCAAAATACTGAAGAGTAGTGATGTCATTTGAAGACAAGGTGCGTCTGATTCAGGCCATGGTCTTTTCAATTACAATTCAATTCAATTTCAATTACAATTCAATGCATCTGAGAGCTGTAAGATGAATGAGGATGAGAGAATTGATGCCTTTGAGATGGCGTGTTGGAGAAAAGTACTGAATAACCCATGGACTGTCAAAAGGCCTCCAAATGGGTATGTCTTGGGAAAAGTCCAGTCAGAGAACCTCTTCAAGGCAAGGATGGCAAAGTTTTGTCTCTCTGACTTTGGTCATGCTGCTTCTTGAGGCTGTTAGGTGCCATCAAGTCAAATATAACACGGTGCTAGGAGAGGCTATTCCTTGAGCAAAGATACCATGCTTGGAAGAGTGGAGGGTCAGCAAAAGAGAGGAAAGCCTCTACTGAGATGGGCTGACACAGTGATGGCAGCAGTGGCTCAAGCGTATTACAGATGGTGAGGATGGCGCAGGGTAGGGCAAGATTCAGATCTGTGTTCACAGGGCCGCTATCAATTGAACCTGACGGCACCTAACGACAATGACCACAATGGATTTTAGAATTGGAAGAGTTCTAGATTGCCTTTTCCACCCCTTTCATGTTAAAATAAGTCAATGGTTTACTTTACATCTAATAAAGATTGAGTTCTGGGACATTTTGGCAATAATTATATCTGACTTAACCTCTCTCACCAGAGTTTGGATTCTTTTTTTACTTTTTTAAAAAAAGTAGCACTTGTTTTAAATATAAAAAAAAAATATTAATTCAGGGAATGTTTATATAAAAGAAATGCCTTTGCTGTCACTCTTTTATTACCTTCTTGTTCCATTTCTCTCCCCAAAGCCAGCCACTGTGGTTAATTTGGGGTATATCTTTTTGCATTTGTTTTCAATGTGATTCTATAATTTGTTTTCTACATACTTATAGCACTATACATGTCTATGTAAGGTCATTGTTGTCATGTGCTATCAATTTGGAACTGACTCATGTAGCTGACCCTCTGGCAAGTTTTTAGAGGCTGTAAATCGCACGGAGGAGACTGCCCATCTCCCTCCCATGAAACAGCTGGTAGATCCAGAACACCGACATTTGAGCTGGCAGTGCGACTCCTGACCATTAAGCAACCAGAGCTCCCCATATGTAATACCATGTTTATGTAACCATGCAACAACAGAGCAAATTTCAACCGGACAGTAAGCCGCTAATACTGGTCAAGATGTGGAGAGACTGGGACTCTCATACATTGCTGGTAGGTATGTGGAATGGCACAGCTACTGTGGATAGCAGCTTAGCACTTCCCTAAAAAGTTAGAAATAGCAATACCATTGGGTTCAGCAATCTCCCTACAAACTCTATATCCTAAAGAAAAAACATTGCATATGAACAAGTACACACATACCCATGTTCACTGCAGCATTATTTACAACAGGAAAGAGAGGAAGCAACTCAAGTATGCATCAAAAAACAAACGGATAAAGAAACTAACATATTTACACAACGGAGTACTGTGCAGCATTAAAGTACAATTGTTGTTGTTGATAGCCTTCGAGTTAAGCACAACTCATAGCAACCCTATGAACAAAAGGCCTGAAGCCCCTCTACAACTATCAACATTTATCAAAGTTCATAGAGTTTCTGGAGGCATATGGTTTAGGAAGTGGATGCCACTTCTGCTTCCAAACTAAACTACAATAGAGTTCATAAAGTTTAGCATAACAAGCATGAATAGAAGACATTATGCTGAATAAAAGTCATAAACAGGCAAATATTTTAGAAGACTATGATTATAAAAAGCTAAAGAAAGGTTTATGTGCAGAAAAACTGATCTCTGATTAGTTACCAGGGATGGAAAGGCGAGAGAGGGGAGCAAAAATCAGTAAATAATAGACACGTCTTTTTTTTTTTTATTTTAGACACGTCTTAGGATGGTGAAGAGACAATATATGGTAAGAAGATGATCAGCATAGCACCACTGGAGAAAGGGAAGACTGAGGACACGAGGACTTTAGTCAACAGTAGATGTATAGGCAGGTTATCCAGACAATCAGGTACAATGAGCTATGCTTCGACATGTCTGTCAGATATTCTTTTAACAGTGAACATCCAAATTAAGACAGACTAGGAAGGACTGGCCACCCATTTCTGAAATACAAATGACCTTTGGAAACCCTCTGTACAGCAGAGCAACATTCAGAGAAGGGTGTACTTGTGTGTGTGTGTGTGTGTGTGTGTGTGTGTGTGTGTGTGTGTACCGTCAAATCAGATCTGACTGGTACAGGAGGAGGTTGTTCCTCCTTTTCCCGGCAGAGCATCTGGTGGATTCGAACCATGTGCCTCTGGGATTGTAGTTCCAGCTCCTTGCCACTAGGCCACCAGAGTTCCCCTAGAAGGGTGTCCTTTAAATACAGCCATGTACAGAGAAGAGTCTACAGGGGACCA